CCTTCTGTTAATATCTTTTTAAATCAATTTTTTTGTCTGTAAACCATGACTGGACTGTCAAGTTGGATTTTATTTTTTATTTTTTAAATACTAAATTGATATTTATTATTAAACAATTCAGATTCGAAAAATATAAAATAAAAAAAAGACAAAATTGATTCCTAAGCCCAAAACCTTTAAGTTACTTCCTATGTCTTTATCCTATGTCTTTATCACTACACCAATGTACATTTGTGATAAATAATTATCATGATTTATAGTAATATTACAAAAAAAATTGAATTTAAAACAAAAAATATATAATTTGTACCCATGGGAACATAAACTCAAGTCCTTTCAAATTAAATGGTATTTATTTTATTTTAAATATGAAAAGTATATTAAGAGGGGGTGAATGAATTAGATTAATCGATATTCGTGAATTTTTCTCGATTACGAGTGGTAACACCAATGTTGTTCTTATTTTTCTGAAACTGTTATGAATGTTAAAATACTGAAAATAAATGCAAAAAAATAAAGAACATCAAGACATATCATGGTTCCCATTTTCAAATAAGGTACTCCAGACCCCTCACACCCTCTAGAGATTTCTCTCTGCCAAATATGTTACAGTCGATCCAAATATGATGACACGTGTTAAGCAATAAATGACACATATGTGATTGCGTTAGATAGTTAAGACAGACAAGTGGATCGACTATAACACATTTAACATAGTGAAATCTCTCACATGATGTGAGGGAACTGGAGCACCCTTGTTTAGAAATGAGAATTAGGATATATCTTGGTGTTCGTTATTTTTCTGCATTAGTTTTCAGCACTTTAACATTCATAACAATTCTAGAAAAATAAGAACATTGCTGCCAACATTCATAATCGAGAAAAATTCGCTAATACCGATTATTCTAATTCATTCACCCCCTCTTTGATTACTTTTTCATATTTAAAGTAAAATAACTACCATTTAATTTAAAAGGACTTGGGTTTATGACCCCATGGATAAAAATTATATATTTTTTGTTTTAAATTTAGAAAGTTTTAATATTACTATAAATAAGAAAATTACGTGTCACAAATGTACATTTACTTAATGATAAAATCATAGGAAGTAACTTAAAGGTCTTGGGTTGGATTCCTTTAAAGAATCAATTTTGTCTTCTTCTTTTTTTTCTTTTAAATCTGAATTGTTTAAAAATAAAATTGAAATTAAAAATAAAAATCAATTTAGTATTTAAAAAATAAAAAATAAAATTCAATTTGATGGTCCGTTTATGATTTAAAAGCAGAAAAATGCGGTTTAAAAAAATATCAACAGAGAAATATTATGGACTAGTTAAATTTTATAAGAAATTAAATCAGATCTATTTTTTTTGTGGAGAATTAATTTGGGTCTTGTAGTTTTTGTGAGGGATCAAAATGAGTCTTCACTCTAATTTTTATTATTTTTAATTATATTATAACAAATTTAATTGACAATATAAATTAGAGAGAAATATAATTGACAATATAAACTAGAGAGAAATTTAATTGACAATAAATTTAATTATGTTATCATAAATTTAATTGACAATAAATACAATTGATAATAAATTAGAGAGAAATTATAGAGAAATAAATTTTAATTATATTATGATCAATATAATTGACAATATTATTTTTAATATAATTAATTAGAGAGAAATTATATTGTTATATAATAAAAATTAAAAACAGCAAAGTGCATATAAAAAGTTAATGTTATTATAATGGGTTAAATAGCACTTCTATTGAAACTCTATCTTTCAAAAATATATTTTCAGACATTCTAAAAATATATTTTCGAAATAAATTTAAACGTAAAAATGAGGTATAACGCAAAAATGAATGAGTTATACGTGTATGGGATGCGTTCGAAAATGTATTTCTCTTCAAATCTCTGATGTCTCTGAAGTTGAGATGGCCTAGTCTATAATGCCATATTCATTCATCTCTGCTAGCTGCAGTCGAAAGGCACTTGTGCTCCATCACATTTAGTTCAATCTTGAAGGTTCAATTCTGAGACATAGGAGCCTTCAAGATTAATCTCCCATTTGCATCAACGACTCTCATCATCTTATCTTCGATTGACACTTTATAATTCTTTTCGACCAACTGTCCTATACTGAGCAAATTGCTCTTCATGCCTGGTATGTACAACACATTGGAAATTACTGACCTCTTGCCATCTTTCCTCATAATCATAACATCACCAATACCTTCAGCTGCTAGGGTATTGTCATTTGCAAACTTTACCATAATTTTCATTGTAGGCTTTATATTGACAAACCAGTCTTTCCTTTCAGACATATGTGATGAACATCCTGAATCCAAGTACCATTGGTCCTTGAATCTATCTTCATCTCTTGTTATGACCATCAGCATCATCTCTTCTTCTTCATGTTTTGCAAGCTTTGCATCACTTTCTTGATTCTTTCGTTTTTCTGGACAATCACTCGCATAGTGTCCATACTTCTGACAATTGTAACATTAAATGTGACTCTTATCAGGTTTTCGACCACCACCTTTTCCTCTATTTGCAACACCACCTCTTTGGTTACCTTGGTATGGTCTTCTTTGATTCGACATGTCTCCTTCAATTTGGTTTCCTCTACCATTTGATTTGTTATAGCCACCTCTACCTCTGTCGAAACACTTTCCTTTGCCTTTGATTTCTTTTGCTGAATGTGCCTGCAAGGCCACATCACTCTTCGATTTGCCTGCAGCTCTTTCATTCATTCTTTGTTCATGATATTTAAGCGTCCCTTGAAGTTCTTCCTTTGTCAATTTTGACAAGTCTTTCCTCTCTTCTATCGCCACCACTATGTGGTCAAACTTAGGAGCTAAAGATCTCAAGATCTTCGAAACAACAGCTCTTGTTGTTAACGTTTCTCCACATATCTTAATTTGATTTACTAGTTTTGTAACTCTAGTGAAGAAATCAGATATGCTTTCACTATCTTCCATCTGAAGCAGTTCATAGGTCCTTTTGTGAGTTTGTAACCTCACTTCTTTCACTTTCTCAGTGCCTCCAAAAGACTTCTCAAGGATTTCCCAAGCTTCTTTTGCAGATTCTGAATCACTAACATTTTCGAAATTTTATGGGCTGACACATTGATGAATTATAAATAATGCTTTATAACTCAGCTTCTTAGATTCTATGTATTTCTTCTTTTCTTCTTCTGAAGCGTTTTCTCCAAGCGCTTCGACTCCATCTTTTACAAGGTCCCAAAGACCTTGACACCTAAATAGGACTTTCATCTGTTTGCACCAATTCTCATAGTTGTCAACTTTTAGAATTGGTAGGATTGCTGGATAATTTGCATTCCCATAATTTGTCATCGTGAATTCTTCAATCATTCTTGATTGACACTTCCCTCGAATCGAAACAAAAGCTCTTGATACCAGATGTTGGAAATCCACCAAATTCTATGATGAATTTCTACCACAATGACAATTTAATTATAAGACAAACAAAGAAAAGAAGACAAGACAAATAATTTCTGCAGAGTTTCTCTCTGCTCACAAACTGTGAAAACTTTATTATTCACTTTGCAACTGCAAAATACTGTGAATGACTTGCTTACAAAAATAGGGGTTACTCCCTCTATTTATAATTGAGCTTACACCCTAAGCCCAAAGCCCAAAATACCTATTTTGTTTCTAAATCAAATCTAATCTATTCTAGACTTAAATCAAATCCATTTAAATCTAAAACAAATCAAATCTTTCCGACACATAATTTCGACACACTGAATTACAATTTAACAAATCATACGTAAGTTTTTCTAGAGATATATATGCGTAATGTGTTCATATGCATATTTCTGGAATCTTGCGTAGAAGAAAAACAGAATAGAACAGCAACTTGACAAAATGAAAATATCATTGATATCATAAAATCATCAATACATAAGGGATTTTAACATAGATCAAACATTACAATTCAATATTCAGGTTGACATTGTAACATCTTGATAATATCATCGACCGATCTCGAAACAGTCGTATCTAACTTGATCAGAACTTTTGATTCTAAATGGAAGAAGGCTCTCCACGTAGTCCGTAAATCAGCGGTCGTCTTCAGCTCATGTTGTTAAACTCAAGCTTCCCTTTTTTGTCAATGAATGGCGAGCGGTACTCGATCTTCATAATTTCGCGATTGTTGTCATATGGTAGAAGCTCCTGCAATGTGTTGCAGATCTTCAAGAGGGCTCTACTCGGTGATCTCAAATTCTCGTGATAGTGTATTATCGGTAAAGTGAATATTTTCAACATGTCAAATGATATTTATTCTGGTTTTTTATGTTTTGGTATTGAAACAATATAATAAGTGAGCTTATTTATAGTAGTGCGAGGTTGTTATGGACCTCACAAACCTTATCTTGTGACAGAACACATTCCGGAAATATAACTCTGAAACCACCATTTGTTCCTTTATTCCATAGATTTATTTCTAGAATCTTCATTGGCATAACAAAACAAAAACACTTTGATACTACGACCAAGTGATGTTTGTATCACATTATGCTGATTTTGTATCATTTGGTTCACAGATTCTTAACTCGCACAAAAATCACCATTGCTATTTCACAACCAATTCTTCAAACAAGCATGAGCAAACTCATCAAAGTTTGTTGTTGAATTTACAAGGTGCATAACCTGATCGGTCTGTGCACATACTATCTTCTCCTTTTCCTGGTCCAAAATTGTATTTTCAACATATTTTAGTAAAGTGGGATCTTTCACACACGCCTTCCTAAAATATATAACAGCGTCATCATATAGGTCTTTTGTAGATGTATTTATTATAATATTTCATGCGTTCATACGTTTCTCCACAGTAACGCTTGACTTGACCATACCGCAGTGAGGATGTATATATTTACCACTTCTTTCGCAACCCAACGTCACAAATACACTTCTTCTATCTGAATCATTATCGGACCTTTCGACCACAACACCAAACCCCAATTTGGTGATCTCTATTGCAGCATGTGATCCAGAAATTCATACTCTTGTTCATTTTTAAAATAGTTTTCAATATCTACCACTTTCACTAGTACAGATGAAGCATCTTGAGACACAATAGATTTGAAGATAGCATCAGAATGCACCATACCTAATGTAAACAAAACATTAAGGAAAATTAGCACATCTTCCGAAAATGTATATCTAAGCGAGTTCATAGAAATTTCAGAGATATACTTCTGATTAAAGCATTACTTTTTTTGCTTCAAAATTAAACTAATGTGAGGAATGTGGGTTGAAATGAATGAACTTCACCTTAAATGGAGATTAGGAGTGAAATATTTAATTGAGAATGGAAGGATTTTTGGAAAAGATTTAAGAAAATATGGCAAATGAAGTATGATCATGCAAATTATTGTTTTTAGCAATTTCACATTTGATTTTTCTACATATGGGATTCTGGATCCAATTGCAAAAACTTATGTTTCATAATTTTAGAATCAATTCTAAATTGTATACAAATTATGATAATGTATATTATTCCTCGAATTGCTCCTTGAGAGGTATAAAGGATTAAATACCTTTAAGTAAGAAATAAAGTTTTTGATCGTGATATGAATCACGGAAGGGACCCCTTAACTATTACTATTAAGGGGTCGATAGAACGAATCGCACTTTTACCACTAAACTATACCCGCTACAATACTATTATTGTATATAAAAAGATCTTTTGTCAATATCAATACAGGAAGGGGAATCAGTCCTAATTATGAAATAGGTGCATAATTTTATGATAAATACAGTGTTCACATGTTTCGTAAAGGGCCCCCTAATGAAATTTAGAAAAGGGGGCGAATCTCATTTTTGGATTTTGTTGAAGGTATACATCTCTAGAATAATCTAACATGCAAAGATAACAACAGTATTTCAAATTCCCACACAAATTTACCAAAATTACATCTCTTAAAATTCTTGTTATAATAGTTCTTTCTCAATTTACTATATTATACTCCTAAAGATATATCTCTGAAATGTTTTTTAATTTGACTTAAGGTGGTTTCAAATTTGCTCGTTTGTGTAATAGAAATGGTGCATTCTAAAATGTATTTCCAAAATCAAAGAGGGCAATTTCGATTTTCCATAGAGCCTATTTAGTGTAATAAGAAAATCCCTTGAGATGGTCATAAAGAGATTTAAAAATGATTTAAACACAATAGAGTGTTGCAGTATCTGATTGAAAGGGCCTCGGCAGGTCAGGGAAGAAACTATAAAGTAATATTATTATTACGTGAGAACATAATCCTCGAGAAATCGATCCACAAAAAACGGAGATGAAGATTAAAATCCCCAGTAGGCCTGGATCCACAAAAGACACAGACGAAGATTAAAATCCTCAATGGCAGGAAAATAATTGTTCATCTCTTTATCAGAAAAATAACTCCACTTTGCCTGGCCCCTGTGCCACCCCTAGATGAAATAATTGATTTTAGCAACGATAACAATTTTAAAACAGTTATATTGAACATTTAAGCAGTGAAATATGGCCTGAATATTGACATTTCTCGTCGGACACTCAGAACACAACTTCAATTCCAACCAGATAAAAATTATTATATATGCAAAAACACCTATATAATATATATTATGGCAACTTCAAAATCATCAAATTATCATTCAGCCCCAAACAAGATTTCAACGCTGTCAGATACGATGGCATATTTAACAGCAAAGCGAAGTGCATTCAAGTTAAAGCCAAAATAAAAACAAGCTTCTGTACAAGGAAGCCAAATAGCAAATTTTGACTTAGAAGTACTAATCAAAAACTTGCTGATTCCCAGGTTATGAGATGTTCATAGCCTCTGCATGATAGGTCTCGAGTTCCATGTCAAGTTGCAGAGCTGACTTTTCAACTCCATCCTTTCTTCCACGACCACGACCTCCACCCCTGCCAGGACGGCCACGACCACGGCCACGGCCACTGCTACTCCCGCCCCTTGAGCCACCTCGACGTCCCCAACTGTAAAAGCAAACAATAGAGGTCATCAGTACGCAACGTCATTGTAAAAAATGGATGTCCATTCCAAGAATACAACAACAGCAAGCTTCATAAAAGAAAAGGCAGGGCCTACAAAGAACCATCCCCAGGTCGACAGCAATCTACAGATACAACAAACAGAACTAAAAAATCTTGGCACATTTGAAAAGTGACTGATTTTAAATGGTTTATATCCATATCCTCTTAGAAATACATGAGCTTTCAAGACTAATCCCTTAAAAAATTCATTTTAAGTTCTTTTGAGGACTAAGTACTTAATTTTATGTAAAAAAGTTTTCAAAATATGGACTATTTCTACAAACTGTAATATTTTGGAAGACCAAAATCTCAAAAGCAAAAGAATTGAACTTTTTAATCCTTATATTTAAGCTTTCAAAACCATACTCTAAAAATTTATGTTTTTGTAGTTCCTATTTGCATTTTAGGTCACGAAGACTACTATCCATTTTACATAAAAATGTTTCAAAATTAACAACTATTTTTACAATTGGTAATGTTTTGTAGTAAAATTTTAATTACAATTTAATAAGAAATAGACATGAAAGTTCATTATTTTGTAAGGACTAAAAATACTTAACCCATTATATATATATATATATATATATATATATATATATATATATATATATATATATATATATATATATATATGGCCCCATTAAACTCAATACATATTTTTATACACACATGATTCAGTAATATATGTAATATAGGTGAAAGTACTTACCCAGCACCGCGATTTGACACAGCAGGACCTCCACCTCGACCACCTCTAGGCCTGCAACACACCGAACAAAAAAGTGAGCTATTAAAGACTTCATTCAAAATAACTGAACAATAAAAAGAAAATTTTATTCAACACTTGCTGCCTTTTTTGATCAAGTTATCTTGATATGGACATCAATTGTCACTATTCCCAAATCAGTGTTGTTCAATAGCCAGTATTGCGGCGCTATACCACTACATAGCTTAGCCAAATTTGGATTAGGAACTATTGTTCCGCAAGTTGATATACAAAATGTTTTCAAATGCCTATCTACAGCACTACTATCACATTACAGAATTTAAACAATCCACCATTTTCTGCTATCCGCAATCGAGAACATTGTCAAAATTAAATATGTATCAAGTAATAGAATCATCATACAAAAGCACCCTCTCATTGCTTAAAGTAATCAACTTACGTCATTACAACTGTCCTCTTCCTCTGTCCATTCATCCCAGTTACATTCACCCGTGCAGTAACAGGCAATTCTGATTTTGCTCCAACGATCTCGATTTTCATGGGCTTTCCATCCAAAAGTACATTGTTATATCGTTTAAGAGCAGCAAATGCATCACTTCTTCTATTATAGACCACTTCAGCTGATCCCTGTTACACAGTGAAAAGTTGAAGTCTAAAAAACTGACAATTGCAGATACGAATGTAAAAAGCTACACCCCGCCCCTCCTTAAAATACCACCTCGTTGGAAATTATAAATTAAACGGTAAAAAAACAGACTGCTCATCTAAAAGACCTCAAACAGGTAGAAATTGGTTTGACCATAAAAAGTAGGTGAAACAAAAATGACATGAGCTTAAAAATACAATATCAAATACGTACAGTTGGGTGTCCATTTTTGTCATAGTGAACAGCATAGCGCTTCAAGTCTCCAAGCTCAGAGAAAAGCTCCTGAGTAGCAAATCAGGTTTCAAGAAAACTTCCAGAGAGGTTGGATAGAAACAGTGGCTAAGAATGAAGCATATGATGATAGGACATAGTATATACCCTTATGTCTTCATTGGTTACTCCTCTGTCCAAGTTGGAAACATACAACTTCGACTCAGCTTCTACTCCTTGTACTCCAGCAGCTCTAAGACTATCCTCAAACAAATCATTGCGCCATGGAAAAGGCTTGGTTCTGCGAATAGACTGGCCAAAGCAAAGAGAACAGTATCCAGAATGGCAGAAGAACACGTCAGATTATGACCAAAAAAGTTATTTACTTCTTCAAGATTTATCAGAACAGGAAAATCCCCAGATTAAAACAATAACACAATATTAATGAAGTAGATCCGGTCATGGTGATATATTCAAATGAAAACCCAGTCAAACATCAGTGTTCTATGTTAAAGATGGCAAATTGGAGTAAGAATTCAACCCACTGCATTCAAGCAGCTGCAATGTTACAAGTCAGAGCTCTGGTGCTGATATTAAGCGAAAAGCTCCATTGCAAAACACCATGAAACAGGGAAGTTACTGAATTCTTGCACTATGGAACGATACTTAGCAAGATGACCCAATAAAACACCGGTCCACACAAACCAGCCAACGATTTAAAGTCACCTCATCTTAATGAAACGGTTAGAATGATAGTGTTTTAAACCCCAATTATAGTTCTAAGATTTTTGTCCTACTTGTAAGAGCTGCATTTTGAAATTCTAACAAATGAAGCTCCTTCAGAAAATATAATAGAATCACCAACGAAATCCTGCACATATCAGAGATCTGTAGCAAAGCCCCCTAAACAAAAGCAAACAACTCATAGATGCATATTAATTGACACTATGGAACTATGCAAAATGGTCGAGCATGAGCTTCTCCACGGAACAAATAATAAAGGAGTTCCTCTTGCTTTGAATTTCTATAATACTGAATCATCTCATAATTGGGTATTTATAGTATATCAGAATCTCAAGAACATGTATAAGCAAGCATCCACGTTTTTTGAGCTTGCCTTGGCAATAGCATAAGATGATGGGCGAGTGTTGACCATAAGTGGGCCTCTACGAACAGCACCAGTTGCTCTTCCACCATTACCAGGACCAGTCATTCTTCTACCATTAACAGCACCAGTCCTTCTTCCACCTCCCAGAGTCCCACTTCCACGGCCAGAAAGGGATTTGCCACGTCCTCTGCCTCTGCCTCTGTTAGTCCTGTTCTTAATTCTATCATCAAGCGACATGTCCAAGGAAGAAGCCATTGTACTTCCAATTGAACAAGATTAAATCTTTCAAGAAAATTCAATGATGTATCCCTGCAAAAATAACAATTTAATCAGCTATTTGTACAATGATTATGATGTATTCGTACAATGATTAGAACCGCTTCAGATATTCATACAAGGATTAGAACTGCTTCAGATATTCAAGAAGCAAATAGGTATTAATAAACCGTCAGCCCCAAAATTTAAATAACCAGCCCTAGCTTAACTTAATTTAGTGACGCGCACACTAATACACACATGCTTGTTAAAAGCAAACAAATTAATTCAAATTTATGAGTATTCTTATTATAAGTCTTTAGCAAAAGACTTATGAAAATGCGGTTAATAAAATAACCATAAAAAATGGCCACATTGGAGAGGCATTATTCCAAAATCCAAGTCCCGTAATTGGAGACAGAGAAGCGTTATTCCAAATCCAATTCCAATATTGTAGTGTTCCTGCCGAGTCACCCATATGTGACGGAACAGCACGGCCTAACACGGTTTTCTTGTTTTTGCTTTTCCGTGCCGGGATAACCGGGATAAAAGTCAAACAAGTTTAATAACATAGATAACATCAAAATAAAATTTTAACATATCACAACTTCAGAAACAGCAAAACAACCAGATTCAAACCAATATCAAATTAAAAAATCCTCAAAGTATAATCCAATTTAAAACTTTCCAACATCGATAGTGAATATTGAAACGCATAAACTTCTATATAAATAAGCCAACATACGATTTTCAACAATTAACAAACAGATTAACAATTTAAAAGGTTGGGATAAACAGATCAGAACATTTTCGCAACCATCGCCCAATCAGATCCATGATTCAACAAATTTCTCAAATCACAGAAAAACCCAATCTACTCGCATCCCACTTCACACGATCTCTTACCCCAATCACAGCCACAGACAAATCTACATCAAAATTCGTACAAAAAAAAAAGAGGTAAACAGATAAAAACACAGTACCTTGATACGATAGAAAACCAGCGTCTGAAGAATAAGGGGAAAGCGTGACTTGTGTGTTGCTTGATGAAGATACGAATGGAAAATTAGGGTTTCGATGCGTGGAGAAAGGGGTTTAGGGTTTCGGCCAGAGAGCTTTTTGGGATTTAGATTGGATTCACGAAAGGAAAAGCATCGTTGAAGTGATTTTATAGGCACGCAGGGGCTTTCATGTCTTTCTGCTTTTTTGCCAAACCGCGTACAGCGATAGAAATTATTCTATGCCACTGCTTGTTGCGTCATGAATGGGTGAGATGAGATAATCTCGTTATCATCGTATTTCATGTCGCTTTATTTTATTTCATAATTTTTTTTAATTATAATGTATGATTTGAATTGATTTTTTATTTATGATTTTGATATTTTAGACTAAATCATTAATCAATAGTTGTTGATTTAGAGTTTTTTTATTTAGAGTGTTTTCCTTTATCATGATTTTGACATTTTTCAAAGATACATTAAGTTTTGAGATTTTAAACGATTTTATTGATCGATATTATATATTTTACATGATTAATAATGAGACATATAATTCAGAAATTGTTTATTTGTGTGGTTGAAAACTCGTATTGTAAATTTAATTTTTTTAAAAACATTGTAATTTTTAGGAGGTTTATAGTATAGTTTTTGATTTATTATATTATTTTATTGTGATTTTGGTATTTTTTAAAACACGTGTTAAGTTTTTTGAGGTGGAAGACAAAATGTAATCCTTCTTAGCATTTTTTTTTTGGAAATCAATGAAGTTGATATCAAATTTATACCTAATAAGTATTGGGTGCATAACAATTTATTTATGATTGAGAAAATTAAGTTCAATAATCGAAATTCGTATTTATAAGGTTATTTAAAAACTTTTACACGAGAGCTAACAATATTATTTTAAGTTGTCTATTATCATAGAGACACCGTCGAACTTTTTTATTTAAAATTTGGAGGTAATAATAAAAGTTTTAAGAGCGAGAGAATATCCTCTAATATATAAGTTTGGTTAAATTTAGAATTAGATTAACAAATTTGAGAATAAATTGTTTATTGTCGTCACTTTTAAATAATTAGATTAGATTGATTTTATTTATGATTTGATATTTCAGACTATATCATTAATTAATGGCTTTTGACTCGTTTTATTTTTTATAATAATTATTTTTGTATTTTTCAAACATGTGTTAAACCTCACTGAGGTTGGGTCAAAATGTAAGTTTTATTGACAATTTTTATGAGAATCAATTGCATTGATATTAGATTATTATACTTGACTAATAATGGGACATATAATTTAGGAAATGCTTGTTTGCTTATGCAATAGACAACTAGTATTATAAATTTAGAGTTTTCACTCTGATTCATTGTCCTTTTTAATTTTGATTTTGGTATTTTAGGCTAAATCATTAATCAATAGTTGTTGATTTAGAGTGTTTTTCTTTACATGATTTTGGCATTTTCCAAAGATACATTAAGCTTTGAGATTTTGGACGATTTTATTGACAAAGTTTTATGAAAATCAATGGGGTCGATATTATATATTATATATGATTAGTAACGAGACATATAATTCAGAAAATGTTTGTTTGCTTGTGCGGTTGAAAACTCGTATTGTTAGTTTAAAATTTTCAAAAACATTGTGATTTTTAGGAGGTTTGTCGTGTAATTTTTGACTCATTGTGTTATTTTATTGTAATTTTGGTATTTTTGAAACATGTGTTAAGTTTCGAGGTTGAAGACAAAATGTAACCCTTCTTAGCCGATTTTTTCTAGAAATCAATGAAGTCGATATCAAATATTATACTTAATAAGTATTTGGTGCACAACAATTTATGATTGAGAAAATTAGAAGGTCAATAATCGAAATTCATATTCATAAAGGTATGTAAAGTTTAAAAGTTGGGGTGTGTTTGGTTCAAGGATTCGAAAGAGATTCTCAAGAATAAGTTATCCGGGAATAAAAATAAGGAAGTTTGATTTCTGGATATTTTAAAGAAAATGTGTTTGACATATTATTTGAAATTCTCAGAAAAATTAGTAGTTATATTTTTTTATAAAAAAATCATGTAAAATTTCATGGGAATGAACATTCCCACCTTCTTACATGAGAATAAAATCATTGGAATTATAAAAATTATTGGAAGTTATTTTATTCCTCTTAACAATTTTCTAAAGATTATTCCTGAGAACTTAATTCTTAAACTTAAAACAAACACCTCATTGGCTTTTAAAAACTCTTACACGAGAGCTAACAATATTATTTCAAGTTGCATATTATCATAGAGATGTCGTCGAACTTTTTTGTTTAAAGTTTGGAGGTAATAATGAAAGTTTTAAGAGCGAGAGAATATCCTATGATATATAAGTTTGTTTGAATTTATAATTAAATTAACAAATTTGAGAATAAATTATTTATTATCGTCACTTTCAAATAATTAAAATAATATCAAAATTGATCTTGCAATCATGGATTTAGATTATAATGTATGATTGGATTGATTTTATTTATGATTTGATATTTTAGGCTATATCATTAATCAATGGTTTTTGACTCGTTTTATTTTTTATAATGATTTTAGTATTTTTCAAACATGTGTTAAGGTGAGGTTGGGTCAAAATGTAAGTCTTGTTGACAATTTTTATGAAAATTAATTGTGTTAACATAGAAATTATACTTGATTAATAATAGGACATATAACTTAGTAAATGTTTGTTTGCTTATGCGACATACAACTAGTATCGTGAATTTAGAGTTTTCAAACACTATGGTTTTTAGGAGGTTTGTTGAAGTTTCTGATTCATTGTGCTTTTTAATTTTGATTTTGGTATTTTTCAAATTGTTTTGGGCCCAACGCCTCATTTTCTTTCTAACCTCCATTTTTACTTTTACAACACTCTGACCCAATTACTTTTTTATACTATTTATATTTTCTTTACTTTTTTTTATTTAACCAAAAATACAAATATATATATATATATATATATATATATATATATATATATATATATATATATATATATATATATATATATATATATATATATATATATATATATATATATATATATATATATATATATATATATATATATATAATTAAATTAGAAATATTTTTATTATTTCTTTTATATTGTAAAACATTTTTCTTTATTAAACATTGACATCTAAATCATTTTTTAAACAAATAAATTACACTTAGGTTTTATTTTAATTAACTTAGATTTTTTAGGTTTTTGTTTAGAATATTACTTAACTTCTCTTGTAATTAAAATTAATTAATTTAATTAGGTTAATATTAAATCTTTTTCTCTATCAAAAAACCATAAAAACAATTTCTTTTTCTTCTTCATCTTTATATTTTGTGTATTTTATTATTCATGTTCAATGGTTTGTAATAGATAATTAGGGCTTTATTGCTTTCTTCCCCTTATTTACAAAATCGTACCCCTGATTCCCAAAGCGTTGTAATAGCATAGGATATTTAAATTCCGCAATTTATCGTTTTCCTTATTATTGTTAGTAATTAGGGTTTGCATGACAAGATTAAGAATCGAACATTAGAAAGCCCTAATTCAAAGACAATATACATGAAAATAAAACACTTTTCACACACGCACCTCTAGGGTAACCCACATTTGTTGCCTCGGATAAAAATAGTCATATCCCTCGAACGTGAGATGTTTTATCAAAGACCCTCGATTAAAATATCGTAGTCCCTCGATGACCCTTCAATGTTACCTTTGATAAACGATCTTAGTCCCTTACGATAATTGCTAAAATATTCTACAAGTTGCCTTTTATGACTGTACGATGACTCATGTTTGTCCCTCACATCCAATGATATGGCTCCTTACCAACCAATGGTAAAATAGCACTATCTAAAGGAGAAGGAAAAGAACAAAGACTTTTTGAGTAGGTAAATTGTTCGTAATTGCTTGCTCACAAACTAAAATCATTTTCACGCCTCACACTTTCAAAAACAAACATCTTTCCAAACACTCCCTTTTGACAAATATTTTTAAAACAAAATATTTTGCATACATTCTCCATGATACGAGAATCATTGCAAAATGGCCATGCTAAGACGTTTTCAAAATATTTCCAAACAAACATTTTGTATACATTCTCGACGATACGAGAATCATTGCAAAATTATCACTTTCAAAACATCTTCAAAAAACATCTTTCAACATACACAAACACAAAGCATTTTAAGGGATCAAGCAATTAAGAGCCCGTAGATAACTACAGATGAAAAGGGTGCTAACACCTTCCTTTTTCATAACCTATCCCCCGAACTCAAGAAAATTCTCAAAAGGTCTTTCCTGTTCTTTTCACCCTTTCCTTTATTGGAAAAAGAAAAGTTGGTGGCGACTCATGCTATCTACAATACTTGCGATAAAACGCAAAACACCAAGTCAGTTCTCCCACCGTATTACAGTATGTATATATAAATGATGTTGTTAGGCACTTATGTTGTGTTAGTTATAATTAACACTACGTGTAATATTATTCTAGATATATATTATATGTGGGTGTTACAACTGGTATCAGAGAAGGTTGATTCTCGACGCGACCTTGAAACATCATAAGTAAATTAAATCCTTCCTCATATTTGTGTATTTCTATCATGATTCTTAATGTCATGGTATATAGTATTGGGACTGATCAACCTAATCCTATGTGCATGGTAGGTAGGATCATGGCTCAGCGACCACGAGGACTCTGAAGGTCTAGTAGTGCTTGTGCTCAGAGTGCAGGGTCATACCAAGAGTTCAAAAGCAAGGAGGAGTTATGGATTTGGTTGATGCACCAGTGGCAGCAACAAGATTTTGTGATTTAGGTGATGCGACAAGTGCATGGTAGTGCACAATTTAAGCCATCTGGTAGCACAAGAGGAGTCAAAATTTTAAGAGTTCTACTGGACGAATCCACATGAATCAGAAATAATCATGAACTTTTAGGAGCGCAAGATTGGCCTACTATCATGGAACAAGTGTTGAAAGTATTTCCATGTGGTGAAGGGGAGAAGGTAGATTTTATCGCTCGTATGTTATAAAGTTTAACAATGAGGTGGTGTGCTAGTGTCTCGGCTCGTATGACCACTCAGAGTACTACAAAGAAGTGAAAGTACTTCAAGGAGGTATGCTTGGAATGTCACTTTTCTAATGGTTTTAAGGCTCGAGCGTTATTGAGATTCACAAACTTCATCAAGGGTATACGACAGAGTATGCGGGAAAGTTCGAAGACATGATTACTTACTCCAAGTGAGCCGTCTATGCACCAGTTGAAGGAGATTCATGTCGAGAGTGAGTAAGACATTCAAGTCCCAAGAAATTCTAGTAAAATTGTTCAGTATTTGAAGATAAGGGGATCACCATCCAAAGGGAAGAAAAATGCAGAGTGTGGGACCAGTGTCACTCTGCAGTACAAATATTGTAATAGATTGGGTTTTGGGGAAGAAGAAGAAGAAGAAGAGGAAGAGGAAGATGAAGAGGAAGAGGAAGAAGAAGAGGGAGAGGAAGAGGAAGAGGAAGAGGAAGAGGAAGAGGAAGAGGAAGAAGAAGAAGAAGAAGAAGAAGAAGAAGAAGAGGAAGAGGAAGAAGAGGAAGAAGAAGAGTAAAAAGAAGAAGAAGAAGAAGAAGAAGAAGAAGAAGAAGAAGAAGAAGAAGAGGGAGAAGAAGAGGAAGAAGAAGAAGAAGAAGAAGAAGAAGAAGAAGAAGAAGAAGAAGAAGAAGAAGAAGAAGAAGAAGAAGAATAAGAAGAAGAAGAAGAAGAAGAAGAAGAAGAAGAAGAGGAAGAGGAAGAAGAAGAAGTGGAAGAGGAGGAGGAAGAAGAAGAAGAAGAAGAAGAAGAAGAAGAAGAAGAGGAAGAGGAAGAGGAAGAGGAAGAAGAAGAGGAAGAAGAGGAAGCGGAAGAAGAAGAATAAGAGGAAGAGGAGGAAGAAGAAGAAGAAGAAGAAGAAGAAGAAGAAGAAGAAGAAGAAGAAGGAGAGGAAGAGGAAGAAGAAGATGAAGAGGAAGAAGAAGAGGAGGGGGAAAGTGTTTGGAACAAAGGAAATGGAAGAATCATCATAAAATATTCATCTTATCTCATCTCAATTTATCATATTCTTCTTGATTAAGGTGAGTTCTTAGTTAGTATAGCTTTTGGGGGAATTTTGTATGAAATTGGGTTTAGGGTTTTGGTAAGTTCTTACTTGTTTGTGACATTGATTATTGAAACATGATTTTTATTATGGATTGTGTTATTATTAGTAACCCATGATGATAAGTAATGTTAATGGTGTATGTTGTGTTGTGTTGTTGAGTATTAATGTTATGGTGAAGTCATGAGATTATGTTTTGAAGTCATGGTGTGTTGATGTTGTATGTTATGATGTGTTGTTGAGTATTGATGTTATGAGATTATGTATTAAAGTTGTGTGGTGTTGATTATTGTATGGTTGTTGTGTTGTGGTTGTATTGGTGTTATGTTCATGTTGTGAAATCATATGATGAAAATATGTTGTTGATGTTGTTACATGATGTTATGACATGTTGGTGACATAAATTATGTTGTTATGATTATAGATTCATGAGGTTAGGAAGTAATGTAAGGTGGTGAAATTCATGGTATTAAATGATTGGTTATGTTAGGATATGATTGGATATGGTTTGGATTATTAGATATTGAAGAATAGTGGTTTAAAAGTGAGTTTTCTTGAAAAGTTACAAAGTTTTATCGCTTAGCAACATATGGATTGCTTAGCGAGCTACCTCTCTTGAAGCTCTCTTTGACCTAGCTAAGCAAGACTACTGATACAAAAAATTTGTTGCACTGAAAAATAATGGATCTTGAGTTTCGTAACTCGAAATGATACGCGGTTGGATGCGTTGGAAAGCTTGCTTAAAGATCTATCTCACGATGATGCTTGATGATACTTGTTACATGTTGCTCTTTGTTAACAGACTATACTTTCTTTTACTTGTGTGTGCCCTGTTCCATAGAGATTGATAATGTAATGAATTGAAATGAATAATAATTAATCAAATTCTACGACAATGAATTAGTTTAACCATAAGACCTTATTTAGGTTAAAATGTAAGGAAATATTAACTTAGAAACTTAGGTTTTGATGCTCGATTATGAAAGGTACCTCGTTGTGAACCCGTGAGCGATTAGTCACTTGAAATGAATCATTCCATCTACGAGAATACCCGAATGGCATGGATGGTGAGTGATATTCTAGTTGTGAGTTAATGAGATTTATATGGAAACATAGTATGATAATGTGACTAATGTAAATAATCACGTGGTGATTGATGATTATAATCACGTAGTGCTTTATGAGTATAATCACGTAGTGATTGTTGTGAATAATCATGTATTCCGGAATACCCCCTTTTCGTGTTTATCCTGAGTTCGACTCTTATGTAAAGTAGTGATCGAGATAGATGAACCATTGATTCGTAACCTCAAATCGGTTAGAGTCCCATAGAGGAGAGAATCTCATAGTTGGTTAGAGTCCCATAGAGATGTGAACTTCAAAGTTTGGACATTATCTTGAACATTTATGTACATCTTATAACATATTTTGACACTATAGTTCCTGTTATTGTATTTTTTTTCCACCCCAAACAATCCTCATGCACTGCTTCCAACAAAGGAACCTTCAAGATCTTAGTCAGTGTATCATGAGACAACAAAAGTCTAATTTTTTAGAGTCCCGTTGTTTAACATTAGGTAGCATAAGATCATTGACAGTAATACTATACGCACCTTGTTCTAGAGGAGCAAAAATCCTCCCACTTCCTTCACCTCTGAACCATGGTTCCAACATCACCTTAATTTTACTCCCATCACCAATACTCCAACTACAACCTAACTTCAACACATTCATCACTTTCTAAATACTCCTCCAAACAAGACTCGGATTGTTTCCAAGACTAGCCTCAAGAAAAGGAGAATGATGGAAGTACTTAGCTTTAAAAACTCTAGCAACCAAGGTGTCATGTAGCGTTAAAAAGTTGAGACTAAAATATTGATTGACTTAACTCACAAAGTGAAAGTCGTCACCACACTTTATTGTTTCCAAAGGTAAATGACAAAAGAGCGAATAAAACTCAAAATAAAATAAGATCAAGATATGTGGCTCGATTATGCAAAGGGAAGATATTATCACCTAAACATTTGTTGTACTCAATGGAAACCAATATGCTTGTTCTAATCAAAGGGTATGTTATCTAAAGCTTAAACTTGTTAAGGGAATGTATGAATGAATTATTAAAGAAAAAATAAAAGAAAGATTTTTATTATTGCGTTCTCCCGAATTTTGCAACACAATACCTATGTATCCTGCAAAAGAATCAGAACATTGTAGTTCTTCTTGAAAAGGTTTATTTGTTGGTTGATTTTAAATGAAGAGGCAAGTTATCTTTTTTAGGAGAAAAATCTCAACTAATCGCCCACAAAGTATGAGAAAGAGGGACAATGCATCAACATGAAGGATGGTTTAGAAACACCTCTAGTACTTAAGTGAAAAAATTAACATCTTTACAGCCATGGGGATAGGAGAATAACATCCCGACTATAAATGATACATGTATAATCTTGAAAAAGATTTTAAAGGAGAAAATGGCACAAAATAATTTGAATGAGTTGAAGTATTTTGTTGATATAATAGCAAATGGATCCTAATGGAGGAACGCTTACTACTTCTCTACTTATTTGTGAAAAGATTTGTGAATTAAATCGTAATAAATGTACCGCCATATCATTTTCCATAAGACTCAACTGCACACGATTCACATCTTTATTTATTAAGTATTTTGTGTTTTTGATTATGAAAAAGAAGTTTGAAAAAGAAGAACTTAACAAAGTCAAGGTTTATTATGAAAGTGGTTAAAGTTTGAAAAACAAGAACGTTTTGAAAAAGATGAGAAGGTTTTGAAAATTAAAGAATGAGAGAAGATGAAGAGACTATCCTAAAGCATAAAACAAAAGTTAAAGTAAGGAAGGTCTAACCAAACAAGAAGTCGACATTTGACATAATAAAATCAACACATAATTCTCATCTTTTGGACTAAAGTCACAAGCAAAGAATAAACCAAGAGTATATCAAGCATCAAGTGAAAATAAATCACAAGCAGAAAGTGCATCAGATAAACCCTACGTGTCAGATAAAACTCAAAGCATCGGATAATCATCAAAATATAAGATAAGAATCTCTACATCAGATGAAACTCCAAACAAACAGACAAAACCAGGATAACAGAGAAATAACTCAAAAATCTCATGTGAAATAAGAACTCAAGTCCTAATGGGTTAGAATCGTGTATCAGAGTTAAATGAATATGAAGTAAATGTTTAACCAATTAATCAAGAATTGATTAACTTAACTAATTAGATTAAGAAAAATTAATTAGCAAAACTAATTAATTTTTAGTAATAAAATCCACTAACTAAATCAACATTTGATTAATTAATTAAAAGCAACAAAGTGTGTAATGAGGAAGTGAGCATTTGAGACATCTTGGAAACTTAGACAAATCACAAACTTGTTAGTAACACAAGAGAAAATGTAATAAACAATGGAAACTTGCATTAATTTACATGTATTAGTAACCAAATCTCAACCTTAATTACCATACATGTATGAATGAAATAACCAAACAAGAATCATAGATCACAATGCAACTTAACACTCAATTTGTGAATTAACAAAATAAATGGTAAAAATGATTAAATCTCAAAACAACTTCAAGCACTTAACAACATAAATTTGCTTATTCTAAACCAACTAAAACCAAAATCAATTAGCGATAGTTCATGGCATACTCGAATTAAATCCAAAAATAAACAAAACAACAATTGAAACATGGATTTTAGCACATTATTGGCATCCGGGCAGCAACAACAAGAACACATCAATACTCCATAATTTCAACTCAAATATGCTCTAAACAAACAGAGACAACAAAGTAAAGTCGTGATTGAATTTCTCGTTCAAAATCAACACAACTAACATCCTAATGTCGTCAAAAATCAAACTTAATTAGTACCAACTCAAATTATGACTCAATTCAATTTCAAAACATGAAAAATCAAGTTCAAAATCGTGCAAATCAAAATATGTGTTGCGACAACGACAAGCAATGATATTCAATAATTTCATTTTAAGAATGTTAGAAACAAAAAAAAATAGATTCAACACCACAACCAATTGGTCTCAATCAAATTTAACTCAAATAACACGTTGTCGACATCAAAACCTCAACATAATTTGACACGAATAATACAGTGTCAACACCAAAACTCATTACTCAAATTTAACATTGACAGCCCCAAAACTATCAACATAACTTCAAAATCATTCACATTGACATAAACACAATATTGACATCAAATTCTCAACATCTAGATCCCACATACAACAACCTTAATATTCAGATTTGATTCAAACAACTCAATAACACCATCAATTTCATCATGTAATTCTAACATTAATAACAGGCCAGAAATGACACAAATTTATTCATGAAAGTATGAAGTTACCAAGAGGAAATTATGGTTGTTGGGGTGTGTTGAAGGTTGTTCAGAGAGACTCACGGATGCTGCTACGAAAATTATGTCAAGGCACTTGTTGTTGGTGAACGATGGTTGTGGCCGGAAGCTGGTCTGGTGTGAGGGAGTAACGCGGACAGAGCAGTTGGGCAGGTGGGTGTCTGAGCGGAAACACGGTTTGGTATGAACATCGGATGGAGTATGTAGCTCGTGAGGGCGAAGCTGAAGGAAGGAAGGATAGTGGTGTCTCGTGAATGGGTCTGTGACGGAGAGTTTGAAACTGGGTATATTGGTTCGAAAATCCAAGAGAAAGAGGAAGTTTCTCTGGTTTTCTACAAATTTGTTATGCCTCTGTTTTTTCTCCGATGTAAATCTCACAACCTCCCCCCCCCCCCCCCTCGCGCTTCCAATTTGCATCTTATTCTAAAACATCAACACTTAAGGTTTTCATTTTTGTTTAATGGGCAAAAAAATTCTTTTTCATAAAATTGACATTAAAAATCTAAAAGAATAAAAATAAATATAATCAAAG